CAAAGCTCTGAACAAAGTGCCACAAAGCTCTGAAGCAACAAAGCTCTGAATAAAGTGCCACAAAGTGCCATAATGCTCTGAAACAACAAAAAGCTCTGAACAAAGTGCCACAATGCTGTGAAGCAACAAAACTCTGAACAAAGTGCCACAATGCTCAGAAGCAACAAAGCTCTGAACAAAGTGCCACAATGCTCAGAAGCAACAAAGCTCTGAACAAGGTGCCACAATGCTCTGAACAAAGTGCCACAATGCCCTGAAGCAACAAGGCTCTGACAAAAGTGCCACAATGCTCCGAACAAAGTGCCACAATGCTCTGAAGCAACAAAGCTCTGAACAAAAATGCCACAAAGCTCTGAACAAAGTGCCACAATGCTCTGAAACAACAAAGTTCTGACTAAAGTGCCACAATGCTCTGAAACAACAAAGCTCTGAACAAAGTGCCACAATACTCTGAAACAACAAAGATCTGAACAAAGTGCAACAATGCTCTGAAACAACGACGCTCTGAACAAAGTGCCACAAGGCTCTGAAGCAATGAATCCGCTATAGAACAAGTCAAAGTGGTGAAGAAGCTAGTGAAGGCAATGTTTAGGCACCTCGACCAATAGTAGCAATAAAGGTACTATAGTGGAGTCCTGGGTGAATATGTCGAAGCAGTGGAGTAGTGGGTGAAGGCATCGAAGCAGTGGAGTAGCTGATGCAGGCTTCGAAGCAGTGGAGTAGTGGGTGAAGGCATCGAAGCAGTGGAGTAGCTGGTGACGGCATCGAAGCAGTGGAGTAGAGAATGAAGGCGTCGAATCAGTGAAGTAGAGAATGAAGGCTTCGAAGCAGTGGAGTAGCTGGTGAAGGCTTCGAAGCAGTTGAGCAGTGGGTGATGGCGTCGAAGCAGTGTAGTAGAGAATGAAGGCATCGAAGCAGTGGAGTAGAGAGTGAAGGCATTGAAGAGCAAGTGAAGGCATCACAGTGGAGTAGCTGGTGAAGGCTTCTAACCAGTGGAGTAGTGGGTGAAGGCATCAAAGAAGTGGAGTAGTGGGTGAAGATGTCGAAGCAGTGGAGTAGAGAGTGAAGGCATCGAAGCAGTTGAGTAGTGGGTGAAGGCTTCGAAGCAGTGGAGTAACTGGTGAAGCCGTCGGAGCAGTGGAGTAGTGGGTGAAGGTGTCGAACCAGTGGAGTAGAGAGTGAAGATGTCGAAGTAGTGGAGTAGCAGGTGAAGGCTTCCAAGTAGTTGAGTAGCGGTTGAAGGCCTTGAAGCAGTGGAGTGGCGAGTTAAGGCATCGAAACAGTTGAGTTGTGGGTGAAGGCTTCGAAGCAGTGGAATAGCGGGTGAAGGCATCGTTAACAAGTCTGGGTTGTAGTAGAAACAGCAACGAAGCTCTGTAGAAAGCGCTTTCTGGAGCAAGGAAGCCACTGTAGCAAGGAAGCCACTGGAGCAGGAAGCCACTGGAGCAAGGAAGCCACTGGAGCAAGGAAGCCACTGGAGCAGGAAGCCACTGGAGCAAGGAAGCCACTGGAGCAAGGAAGCCACTGGAGCAGGAAGCCACTGGAGCAAGGAAGCCACTGGAGCAAGGAAGCCACTGTAGCAAGGAAGCCACTGGAGCAGGGAAGCCACTGGAGCAGGAAGCCACTGGAGCAGGAAGCCACTGGAGCAAGGAAGCCACTGGAGCAGGAAGCCACTGGAGCAGGAAGCCACTGGAGCAAGGAAGCCACTGGAGCAAGGAAGCCACTGGAGCAGGAAGCCACTGGAGCAAGGAAGCCACTGGAGCAAGGAAGCCACTGGAGCAGGAAGCCACTGGAGCAAGGAAGCGACTGTAGCAGGGGTCTTAGCGGTGGAGTAGCAAGGAAGTCACTGTAGCAGGGGTCTAAGCAGTGGAGTAGCAAGGATCCACTGTAGCAGGGGTCTAAGCAGCAGAGTTGCAAGGAAGCCACTGAAGCAGGGGTCTAAGAGGTGGAGTAGTAAGGAAGCCACTGTAGCAGGGGTTTAAGAGGTGGAGTAGCAAGGATCCACTGTTGCTGGGGTCTAAGAGGTGGATGGCAAGGATCCACTGTTGCTGGGGTCTAAGAGGTGGAGTAGCAAGGAAGCCAGTGTAGCTGGGGTCTAAGCGGTGGAGTAGCAAGGAAGCCACTGTAACAGGGGTCTAAGCAGTGGAGTAGCAAGGATCCACTGTAGCAGGGGTCTAAGCAGTGTAGCAAGTATCCACTGTAGCAGCAGTCTTAGCAGTGGAGTCGCAAGGAAGCCACTGTAGCAGGGGTCTAAGCAGTGGAGTAGCAAGGATCCACTGTAGCAGGGGTCTAAGCGGTGGAGTAGCAAGGAAGCCACTGTAGCAGGGGTCTAAGCAGTGGAGTAGCAAGGAAGCCACTGTAGCAGGGGTCTTAGCAGTGGAGTAGCAAGGATCCACTGTAGCAGGGGACTAAGAGTTGGAGTAGCAAGGAAGCCACAGTAGCAGGGGTCTAAGCAGCAGAGTAGCAAGGATCCACTATAGCAGGGGTCTAAGCGGTGGAGTAGCAAGTATCCACTGTAGCAGCGGTCTAAGCAGTTGAGTAGCAAGGAAGCCACTGTTGCCGGGGTCTAAGCGGTAGAGTAGCAAGGATCCACTGTAGCAGGGGTCTAAGCGGTGGAGTAGCAAGTATCCACCGTAGCAGCGGTCTAAGCAGCAGAGTAGCAAGGATCCACTGTAGCAGGGGTCTAAGCGATGGAATAGCAAGGATCCACTGTAGCAGGGGTCTAAGCGGTGGAGTAGCAAGGAAGCCACTGTAGCAGGGGTGTAAGCAGCAGAGTAGCAAGGAAGCCACTGTAGCAGGGGACTAAGCGGTGGAGTAGCAAGGAAGCCACTGTAGCAGGGGACTAAGCAGTGGAGTAGCAAGGAAGCCACTGTTGCCGGGGTCTAAGCGGTGGAGTAGCAAGGAAGCCACTGTAGCAGGGATCTGAGCAGCTTGGTAGCTGATGAAGTCCAGCACCCACTAGTATTCAAATCATGTAATCACTACATCATGTACATGCACAAGTCTTAAACTAAGTATCAACACATAAAGGCAAATTTACTTTATCAGTGAACCTTGTGGCAGCTAAATTCTCACAAAACATTCACCCTTCCTAAGTAACATGGGGCTGTGTAATAGAGAAAGATTTCTTCATCAATGATATACAGTGTCTGCTCTGGCTTAAAGTTTCTTGGGGTCAGTTGGACCCCTTCAGCATAAAATTAGGGGTCCCAAACAAAAATGGAGGGGTCCAATTTGTAGCATCATAATATAACATAAACAACAGAATACAGTGGTTGTGAAAAATCAGACATCTTTTCGCAACTGCAAAATATCAACAAACAGGCAAAGTGAGAGAAAGGTTCACATCAGGACACATCCTGCTCTCATGACCAAGAGGTTTACATTAAGGGACAAACAATTTCTTAAAATGGAAATTTGATACTAATGAATATTTTAACACAAAACTATCCATGTTAATATCTAACTTTGTAAATGAAAAGGCAGTACACGGGTGATCAGCCATTGGTAAGGGGTCATAGGGGCAGACATTTGTTAATGTTTATATCTAGATCTTCCAATGATTTGAAGTTTATGGATTCAGTCAAGTTCAATGGCTGTTCTGATGCTACTGTACTGAGTAGTGAGTTCATGTCGTAACTGTGACAATGATCAATGAGTCATAACATAATTGGGATATCAAACAGTTTTTTTAAGTAAGAGTATGTTCAGGATCCAGCATTTCCTTCATAAATCTAGTCAACAATGAACATGTTTCAGGTGCTATAAATGTTAAAACATGTCATTTACACTAATAACGGTTCTGTCAAAATGTGTTTTGCAATTCTTAATATAACCCACAAGAGATTGAATTATAATCAGCTTGATAAGTCTGTTGTAGAATAACTAAATATTCAGAGTCCGCTAAATAAAAACAATGCTTACATTCAAGTGTCCGCATTTATTCTTTATCATATACAGTATGGCGGTATCGATAAATCTCGAAATCCACACAAACTGTCGACTGTTTACTTATGCAAATCTAAGCACGATATATTTCATTGCATGATTGAATACAGGACTCGTTGCGGTATGTCACGGCTACTTGTACACACGTTAACTTCTTTATGATAGTTTCTGGGATGTTTTTGAAGTGGAATTACCCCTACCTCCATTCGAAATTGATACGAAAAAGAACCCATTTGTTTCAACGAAGTTCCTTGATCAAACCTCGGTCGTATGTAAAATACAAAACAGGACGTGATGTAAACCATATAACCCACACAGGAACTTTGTTTACCAAACTCGGTAAAGAAAATCAGCATCGATCAATCCAATGAACAAAAAATATTTGAATCACATATTTAATAAGGTTATAAGCGTGCCCCATTTCAATCTACTGCGATAACATAGCGTACCATCCTACACGGTCGCTCGATTTCGCGGGTCACTGTTACCACGTTCTGAAGTATACCCTTCATGTGCCGGGCTATTTTTAGTTTGACACAAGGTCGGGAAATTTTCGACCAATCAAGCTAAATGAATTACGACTATATCCGACCTGCTTAATATGCGGCACCTGATTGGCTGAAGCAAAGCTACGGACCATACCAAACATTAATACATGCAAAACCGAAAATAGATATAGGTCAAGAAACCGGTTTGGGTATTTGTCATAAACAGGGAGAGAATAATGAAACTGGTTTGGTTTAGCAAACGGAAGTGTTAATCAACATGCTTCCCGGTCTTGTTTGGCAACAAATACCTTTACGCAAAGACGTACGTCTTTGATTTACGATAACAGTGTCAATTCGATATGAAATTAATAACGCCCCAGTCACTGCGTCCACGAGACCCACACATGTTACGCAGGTGCGTTCAAACTCATTTTTGTGCGTCCAAGACGCAAAAACGCGCTCTTCAGCCAACACTGGATATATTACTACAAACTACATGTACAAGTAGCAAACTTATTTCAAGTATGAATAATCATCAAAAAAGTTTTGAGTGCATATACTTACGGCGAAAGAACACGACTGAAAACACAATTCCAAGGCCAAGACCACTTGCTGAAAGAAATAATAAAGCATATTTATCAACTATTAGTAAAAACTAAAAATACTGCAAAGACACTACAGCTCACATGAATATGTTGTAAACAATCTAAAATGTCAAGCATGACAGCCACTAAACAAGTGTCAGCATTTATATCCAAATATGTTCTGCATCGGTGAGGAAAAAAAACTAATACTAAAATCAAAATAATCTGAACAAAATAATGGTGTCATGTTAAGAAGGAATATACATGCTTGTAATCATCATTGGCAAGAACAGTCATGTCAAGTAACAGCTTCATTGGTTCCAAGGTTTCGGAGGAAAAGAAACACAAAGTTCACTGAACACATGCTCAGTCAGTTGAGCTAATTACAAAAGAAGTGTGATTGACGCTGCTTTGAAAAGTTTTAGTACTTTGAAGTACAAGTCTCAAGGGTATATACAACTTTGCAGATTTAGGATAGACCGTAACATTGTTAATGCAAATGAAAGCAGTGCGTAAATAAGGTTTAGTTGCATTTTGTCTCGAATATCAACTTTTAAGCAAAGCTACATGGGGAGAACGCAGAATGTTTCTAAAACTTTTGTGTAGCTAAGTGGGGACTACACAGAATGTTTGTAAAACTTTTGCATAGCTATGCAGAAACTACGCAGAATGTTTCTTAAATTTCTGTATAGCTATGCAAACACTCCGCGGATTATCTGTGAAACTTATTGCCCTTTTTATGGGACCAAATAGTTTTATGAACCCCGGGTATGGGCACAAGCGTAAAAGACACATTATACATGTACATCACATATGGTGACTGTTTTTCACTATTCATATTCTAATGTCATTCATAATACATCATTTCAGTACTCCTTGAAGCTTTACAATGACTTCAAATGTTAAGTACAATAGATTGAACGAGAACAAATGATAATGCTTTGTACAAAGAAGTATTATGTCTTGCAGATTTAGACTCAGAATGTGCTCATTCAAATTATAAACGAGAATAAGAGCGGGAGTGGCCATCTGTCGTCTTGGAGGGTGAACGTTGCACCGAAGTCGGACGATCTAAAACGACCTGAGAGGTTGTAATACCGACGGACATATCTCCAGGGGAGCAGAGCGAGCCGAATCCAAGAGCAGGATTTTAAATGCACTGGAGGCACCCGGGTTGGTCAGACAGACCGAGCGCACATCGACCTGCGCATTTTCTTGTGGAGTGGTCGACAGGTCGTGAGTCAATAAATCATCTGTAAGGAAGCTGTCTGAGAAGGTCTCGTCTTTGGCAGAAATTACTGCATCACATGCTCAAGGCAGCGGTGGGCTAATAATGGAATTGGGACACCGTCAAAACGACCATGCCTTCATGATGATAATGATTTTTACAGTCTCTACAGATGAGTTTTTTTGTGCTTCTCCATTGAAGCCTCATTCTGGGAACCTGAATAATAATAAACAAAAGGGAGTGGCTCTCAGTTATGTTTTCATGCTGTACACTATATGATTGAGCAACTGCAGTGAGTGTACTCGCAATTTATCTGAGTTGCCGGCTGTCATAAATTGTTGAACCAGGACTAGTGGACCAAAGTGGTGTAGCCCTTGGACATCGTTTACGGAGATAATTTGTAAGTAGTGGGAGGCGAAGACAATGTCAGACTTCCAGAAACATCCTTCCATGATAGCACTGAGGGAACGGTTGCTATATAGAGCCATTGTAGATGTGACAGTTCTCGCCTCGTGAGGATTTAATGTCTGGGGTGGAGGCAATCCCGCAAAGTTGCGGACATCGAGTATTGTAGATCATAACCAAAAGGAGATCGCTGTACGGGAGAACTCTGAGGTAACCATCTGAGAGGGGGGGGATAAACAATCTCTTCTGGGATCGTTGCAGGGTTGATGAGGCGTGCAAGTATATGCGTAGAGCTCAAACAGGACATAGCAATATGACCTCGCAATCCTCAAGATGTAGAATCGAAGCCAATGCCGGGATGGTGAATAGCCTGTCGGGTTGACCAGGAAATATGAACCTTTCGGTGGTTGTGTAGATGCCATTCTGTTAAGGATGGTTGATTCTGGACGGGACAGGGAGTCTGCTATGACATTGCTTATTCCCCGATAAACGTCCATCGTCAGAGCCAACAGGAATGATTACTGGGTCGACCCCATCTTGTTGATATACCATACAGCGTTGTCGGACTGTATCATCAGGTGAGATGATCGAAGTTCTTCTGCCCAATCAGAGAGCGCTAGAATTCGAAATTGTTGCTATGAAGGGTCGATTATATTGCTGACCAACTTTCTGAAGTCTGTTGATAGTGCAGGTGTGCTCCCCTACCCTATTGTTGACGCATCCATGAACAAGCGGGATGTTGGTAGAAAGGGTTCCAGGGGAACTCCTGAGCAGACATTGTTTTGGATAACCATCATTGTAGATGGCCGTACGGGTGCAATGGCAGCTGAATCGGGACCCGACAATCGTCAATCTGAAGATACGGTGTTAGGAAGCACTGAATTGGCTGTTGTTGGAGTCGATCTCTCTGGGTGAGGGCTTGTTCCGACGTCAATAGACCAAGCAACTGCTGCCATTGTCGTTGATGTAGCGACTGTCCGAGTGCTATAGGTACAACTTGTTGTATATTTGGAGGGACGTACACATCTTACCGAGATCGGTGTCGAAAAGTGCTCCAATGAACTGCAGTTGCTGACTGGATGTGGTTTCTGACTTTTCTATGTTGACTAGCCAGCTGAGCTGATGGAGTAGCTTCTGCACGAAGGCAAGTTGTCTGACTACGACATTCTGGTCAGTGTGAGCCTGAATGCAATCGTCGACAAACAACTCGAAGATGTTCCCTCTGACATGTAGGAGCTTGGTAAGGCGGGTAAAAAGCCACGGGACCGAAGGAATTCCAAATGGGAGCAGCTTCCATTGGTAGTGTCGACCTTGGAAAATAAAGCAGAGGTATGTGCCTGTGCTCATGGTGGATGGGCACTTGGAGGTAGGCGTCTTGTAGATCCAGGCTGATCATGTAGTCCCCTTGTTGAATGATGGTGCAAAGATGCTGACTGATGTCATACGCCAGTTTCTATAGGTGTCAGGGTTCTGGGACTTGGGCCTAAACACTTTAGACTTTTAGAGCATGCTTGGATATCAACATACCCTCAGACAAGTCTCCGGAGTCCTTCTTGGCGGTGAAGGACAGTTCTGTGTTGAGTGCCTTTGTAGCCTTCTCCTCTGCCATGAAAAGAGCCCATCTTCACACGCACACACTACAAAGGTCTTGATGATATTGATTTAATTGAGTCTGTCTCCTGTCCTGCCTCTGTTGGTTCTCTAACTGTTGTTTCTGTAGTCGTAAGAGATCAACTGACACCTGGAGATGCGTTTCTTTTGTAACTTGTTGGGCAACCTCCTGGAGCCTGTAATCAAAAAGTTGGGGAGATGACCAAGGCATCTGATACAGTGTAACTTTGTGGTGTTCTTCCAACTGGCAGAAGCGAAGTAGTCCCCAGCGTCACATGTCATCTGGAAAGTAATTAGCTCCATCACATCCTGAAACTTACTCTGGATCAATTTGACAGTCGATCTGATATAAGCTTCATCCGAAGTCTTAGCGTGATGAACTTACATGCCTATCGCTTCTACGACCGACAGAATTGTTTGTTAGTACTAGTAGGGTCTGCCTGATAGTAAGATCCAGATGAGCTAACTCCTTATCATCTACAACAGATTTAACCGATGTGCGCTTCAGGACGATAGATGCGAAGTTCCCATCTAGTTTTAGAGTCGCGTCTAGATTAGTCATCCCATTAGTTCCTGTATCAGCTGTTGAATATTGAATATATTGAAACTTGTCCTTCTGTCTGCAGAAGGCCCTGAATGCCGGATCTAGCTTCTTAGTTAAGTCCAACATGGTAGCCGCTGGTGGTAAGGTAACGGGAGATGTCATCACTAAACCTGAGTTGATGTCTTCCTCTGAAGTACTATGAGGCAGATGATGGGTGTCCACGATCCAGGTGAGGATTAGGGACGGGTCGACTTGGGCAAAACTACCCGTAGATGACGGAGGTGAAGTCTGACTTTCAGGAGTAGCATCCGATGGAATAGATGTATTATCATCTCTATCACTCATCTCTGTTTCTAGTGTTGTTGTAGTAGCAAGTCCTGTATCTGTCCTCAACTGTTCGGTGCGGTGTTGTAAGACTGTTGAAGAGATTGAAGAAAAGATCCGATTTGTTCAGATAAATCACTCTGATCCTGAGAAGACGATAGGGGATTCGATACTGGAGGAGCCATACAAATAACAGGGTTCAACACTGGAGGTGAAGAGGGAAGAGTCACAACTGGAGGGTTTGACTTGTCTGGAGATCGCTGGTCCATGTGTGTCTCTATCAGTGACTCAGAATGTGAGTGTTAGGAGGGTCGATCTTGTTCCATCTGTCGATCTCGAAGGGGAGGAGCAGCATATCGATAATAGTCCGGCGTCGAAGGATATTCAGGGTAGGGCAGATATTGATGGTCTCCATATCGATCAGTTGTCGGATAGTATCTCATAGGTTGGTATCGGTGAGATGGAGATCGATGTCGATCCCAGTCAGATAGGGATAACGCTAGTGATAGGGATAACACTGTGAGTCTGATGTCGATCTGTAGAATGAGAACGCCTCAGTTCATGTCCATACAATCGATTTGTAGAGAGGTGATCCCCTGAATCGGAGTAATCGTTCTGTTTCGATGTTGAAGTGTGTTCCTGAGACGAAAAGCTTCAGGAGAGTGATCTGAATGTCGACCCTTAGAGAGTTGACCTGTAGAAAGTCGATCCTTATCCGATCGATCTCAAAATCTACAACTGGAGGGTGTGCGTTCCTTGTAATGTCAACCCTTGGAATGTAAATCTGAGGAATGTGGACCCTTGGAGGGTCGATCGTGGTTCGATGTCGATGTTTTAGTGCCCCAAAACTCCCGTAATTTTGAGAAAAATAAAGGCCTCAATATTCTCTCTAAAAAAAGTATGTCTTACGATAAAT